CGTTAAAAGCATTTAGGAATTGTGATTCAAATTTCAAAAAACAATCAATTTTCTTTTTTTACTCAGAAATGTTCCAGGTCTGATCTGAAAACCACTAGTCACTGTGAGGCTGCTGCTGCTAAAGGCTATAGGGTGTTATGGTCTATTGGTAGGTCTTTCCATTATTTAGATGACGAAATATTTAAATTATTATACCCGATTTATGTGCGACCACATCTGGAGTATGGGATTCAAGCAATGAGCCTTTGTTTCAAGCATGAAGAAGATATGCTGGGAAGAGTCCGAGGACGAGGTAATAAAATGGTAAAAGGTTTATCTGGCCTATCTTATGAAGACAAACTGAAAAAACTTAATTTATTTACGTTATCTTACCATAGAGTACGGGGCGATCTAATATTGGCTTATCGTATACTGAATGATGACCTTGGTATTAACATGTCTTTTCTTTTACTTTCGTCTAGGACTGATCATCTGAGAGGACACTCGGAGAAAGTTCAAAAACCGAGATCAAATCGTTTACGTCTGGACTTTCGTTTCTCGCACCGAGTAGTGAGTTACGGGAATATCAGCACCTTCTGTTGATGTATTCAGAACGATGTTGAACCTCCACATTGTTACAAACTGAAAGGATTATTATGACCTCCTATCCTTATGACTGAATTAACATTAACTGCGCGCTATTTAAAAAGGACAGTGGTATTTTTCATCGCTGAGTAAATTTCATTGTTTCGATCGTTTATTACGTATCAAGACTACTGTTTTTCACTTTAATTGAATTTATTTCAGTTAAAGTATTCGACTAAAGTATCGTTTTTACTGTTTTGTCGTTGGTACTCTTTAGTACCTCTTTTTCAACTGTATCTGTTCGTACTTTTGGTCCTAGCAATCTACAGCTCCTCAATTTTTTTGGTCATTGATAATTTTTTTGTTTCTGGGTATCATCGCATATTGAAAAAACCCCTCCTAAATGACCGGACAATGTAAAAAAAGCAGTTGCCAACGTCCGGGTTGTCGTTATCCTGTTGAAAGCGGCATGCAGTGCGACGAGTGCAAAGGCTGGTACCACGAAGTTTGCACGAACTTAACGCCTGCTGCTTTCAAACGGTTCAGTAAGAAGGGTTGTGTGTGGCTTTGTCAACAGTGCTGCTCGGATGCAAACAGCTTGTTACCCGAGGCCATCTCACTGGTTGATGCTGCAAAGAAGTGTTTTAACAAGCATAGTCGGAACGCGTCAAACAGCACTCGATCTGTTGACACGCAAATCAATGTGAAGGAAACTAAGGTGAGTCCGGTGATAGATAACTCACGCCCGTCAAAGAAGGAAAAGCAGTCTCCAAAGGGGCCTGCCTTAAAAAAAGCTCAAGAAAAGTAGGGTCTTCTGTTCCCCGTCTCCCAGATGGGATCCAACAGGAAACACCTAGGAGCCGCAATCGCAAGGCTCGATCGGTTTCAAATGGTAAACATAACACGACCCCTCAGGTCGTCGACAACCCCCCAAAACCCAACACTAGGTTTGACGCAACTGTTATTGCTTCTACCAGCACCGTTGACGAATGGGTAAAAGTTGTAAGGAAGAAAAGTATTGATATAAAAGAGAAACCTGCCCCCGTAAAAGTGGTTGAAAAATCGAAAGCTGATCATAGCGACAGATCAGCTATTTTTCATAGAATTAAGGAGAGCGATAGCTCTGAACCTAAAGCTCGTTTTGAGCATGACATTGTACTGATTAGGCAGCTGCTTAATCAACTCATGCCTCAAAATATGACTGGGGTCACCTTGCTAAAGGTGTATAGACTAGGGAGTCTAACGGACTCGAAACCAAATCATTCCAGACTGCTTAAAGTAGTATTCGGCTCTTCAAACGAACGTGACCTAATTTTACAAAATGGACACAAATTAAAGGGTTCAGGAGTCTTTATCCGAAAGGACCTACCGTTGGCAGACCGTGTTAAAAGACGGGAAGCCGAGAAAGAACTACAACATAGGTTAGACGCTGGCGGAAAGGACCTGAAAATTGTAAATTTTCGGGTTGTAAGACTTGGACAGAGAATGATGCCGAAGCCACTCTAGGTGAAGCACGAAGGCACTTAAACAGGCTTCGGATCTGTTACACCAATGCACGAAGCTTACTTAATAAGCGATCGGAACTAGGTGTACAGATTGACTCTACAAAGCCAGATATAATCGCAGTAACAGAAACCTGGCTGACACAGGCTATAGATAGTATAGAACTTGATTTCGAGGGCTTTACGTTAGTAAGGGCCGACAGAACACAAAAGCGCAAAGGAGGGGGAATAGCTCTATTCATTGGGAATGCTATCCCATTTACCATTATCGATAGTGTATCCCATGAGAGTGGGACGTGTGAATTAGTTAGTCTTCGCTTAAAATGCAAGGGACAAGAGCTGCTGATTGGTTTGGTCTATCGCAGTCCAAGCTGTGAGGCAAATGAGATCCTGTTAAGCAGTCTCAATACTTGGTCCCAAAGTGGTCGATGTCTAATCCTAGGGGACTTTAATGCACCTATGGTAGACTGGGAAAATCTGCGAACTGAATCGTCAGAAAATTCCTTCGAGCAGGAACTAGTTGATGCGGTTATCACATGTGCCCTAGTGCAACATGTGAAAGAAGCGACTAGGTACGACCCGGACACTGAATCATCCTTATTAGATCTTATACTGACTCACTATGAGGATGATGTTGCGAACCTCCACCATATGCCACCCTTAGGTAAAAGTGACCACGCAGTTTTAACTTTCGACTTCCATATAACTGCCAGTCATGAGGACGCGTCAGTCCAGTCCAGACCCAACGTCTGGAAAGCAAACATACCAGACATCATGTACTCAGCATCGTTAATAGATTGGACAATAGACCCAGAGTCCTCCATTGAAACGGCCTGGGACGCATTTCGAAAATCATACTTAAAAGTTACCACACCTCACATCCCTTGGACTATACCAAAGGGGCGGAAAAACTCACCACCATGGTTCAGTAGGGAGGTCCGTATCCTTCTCCGTAAGAAAAGGAAAACGTGGGATAGATTTAGGTTACTGGGGACTGATGAGTCAAAATCTCAGTATCGAAAGGCTCGGAACACTTGTGCCTCGACCCTCCGTAAGTCTAGAAAATTGTACGAAGAAAAACTTGTTAAGGAATCCATAGAATGTCCTAAACGCTTGTATTCCTATATAAACCAAAGGACAAGGAGAAAAGGAAATATTCCTGCTCTATGGGGAGACAGTACTGCTTCATCATTAGTGGAGGACGACTTTGGTAAGGCTCAAGCGTTCTCGAACTACTTTAGCAACGTGTATACCATAGAAGCGCCCTTCTCGTCAGCGTATACAGATCCCCCCATACATACACTGGATAGCGTGACCATTAAAGAACTCGATGTCTTTGGTCTGCTAAATAAGCTTGACATAGGTAAATCCACGGGGCCCGATGAATTACATCCTAGGCTACTGAAGGAATTATCTAACTTCGTTGCGAACCCTTTAAGTATATGCTTTAATCTATCCGTAACGCAGGGGTCGTTTACCAAAAGACTGAAAAACGCCATAGTAAGTCCTATCTTCAAAACAGGTACGAAACATAAACCTGATAATTACTGCCCCGTTAGCCTAACTACTGTGGTTGCTAAAATCTTAGAAAAGATTATTCGGAAGGAGCTGTTTAAGTACCTCGATGAAAACCGGATCCTTTCGGAGAAGCAGCATGGCTTCAGAATAGGTTATTCTTGTCTCACTAACTTATTAGTGGCTCGTGAAAGCTGGTGCGCTATTAAGGACCAAAAGTCACCTGTAGATGTAGCCTACATCGATTTCGGATAAGCTTTTGACAAAGTTCTGCACAACCGGCTGTTATATAAGCTAAGAAATGTCGGAATTGAAGGCAATCTATTGATGTGGATAAAAGACTTCCTAGTTAGGCGCCAACAAAGATTGGGGGTGAACTCAAAGTTATCTAGCTGGGGAACTGTGCTTAGTGGAGTGCCCCTGGGTGCAGTCTTGGGGCCAGTGCTATTCCTCTTGTATGTAAATGACCTTCTTCGTCTCCTATCATCATCGGTCTTGCTATATGCTGACGATGTCAAGATATGGAGAACGATACGATGTAAGAGTGATAGCTTGGAACTTCAAAATGACCTGAAGAAGTTATCTGAATTGTCTCAAACATGGCAGTTGCCGATAAATACTTCCAAGTGTGTTGTGATGGATATCGGTCATCAAGGCACAGATACATACACGATGAATAACACTGAGCTACCTGTCGTCCAGACATATAATGATTTAGGAGTTATCGTTAGTCAAGACTTAAAGACTACTGCACACTGCCGTGCAATGGCCGCCAAAAGTTTTAGAACGTTATGGTCAATACGTAGGGCTTTTAGTCATGTCGACGCTAAGACGTTTTTGACTTTGTATACAGTGTTCGTTCGTCCTAAACTTGAGTACTGCATACAAGCGGCTAGCCCCTGCTTTAAAAAAGACAGTGAGCTTCTGGAAAAGGTTCAGAGAACGGCGACTAAGCTGATTCCTGGAATAGCGAAGCTTCCGTATGAATCTCGACTGGCCAAGCTGAACCTTTTCCCGTTGTCATATCGCAGAACTAGAGGCGACTTGATTACAGTCTACAAATTGCTTAGTGATAAATTTGCACCTGATATGCCCTCATTTTTCTTGCCTTCCAAAACAGAGAATTTACGAGGACACTCCAAAAAAGTTCACAAGCCGAGAACAAATTACTTGTCAGCTGACTATCGACTTTCCCATCGAATCATCAACGAGTGGAATTCACTACCTCAGCACGTGGTTGAGGCTCCATCCGTCGACTCTTTCAAAAGAAAGTTGGATCAACTGAGAGACCACCATTGCCAAGACTAACATAGGCCATCGAGCCTTCTGTCCTTCCCAAACTGAAATTGAAACTGAATTTTGAAACAGCGTCTTTCAAATAGTATGGCATACTGCCCTTGAAATGCCTCGTTTGGCCTTGGAAGTCTCGTGACTGACTTCAACCAATAACAACTCCATTTGGAGTCCCCACGTTTTCTTATAAGAACGAGGAAAACTTTTTATAGCCTAACGTAATTGTAAGACATAAATCAGTCTGCATAGGTCGAACATATCTAGTCTACAAAGGAAAGTAGCTAGTATACTATAGTAAACTATAGCTATATATGGCTATAGTTTACTAACTATAGTTTAAACATAAGTTATTCTCCTGTTGGATTTCTTAAGAAATGAATAATTATTCATTTATTTTATAGGAAGTCGAACAAAATGGCTATACTGACTAAAACAGTACGTGAGTGGCTTGAGGATGTGCATAATAAACGTCTTTCTACTGCCAGTTCTGCTGAAAATTTCAAGTTTCACAAATCAAGAATAAGGCATTTGTCTGGGCCAGGCACTTTCCCAGAAAAAGATGATGCGTTGGGACAGGGCGGAGTACTTTACTGGATGTCACGTGATCAACGAGTTCAGGGTAATACAATCTAAGGTTATATTTTTTTGGCTTTTTAGTGTTAATAATTAGTGAGGAAATCATATTTGTTGCTCAGTTTAGACTCACTTAAGTTGATATGCGATTGCCAAAGCCATATAGGGTTATGTCCTGATTTACTGACAATCTAATTCAAGATCAATTCCAACTAAATTTTTTTATTTATTTTAACACATAGATATTGGTACAAGGAGGCACCAAATACATATGCGCCACACAAATCTCATTTGATATTTGTGAGGGCTGTGATACTGTTCGGGTGCCCAAACCGAAGCAACTACAAGCTGGGTATTTACTTTTCTTTCGTTCTATTTAGTTGAGATGGATTTGTTTATGCACTCAGTTCTCACTAATGTTTCTCGAACTTCGCTATCCATGCGTATATTTAAGCCCTATAGTGTTGTGATATGTGTTCAAACCTAGTCATTGCACTCAACTATTGGTAATTTTCCCCTATAATTATTCATTACAACAGCGTACAGGTACCTTAAAATGTTGACTACCAGAGGTAGTATAAGTAGATGATACGAATCTCACCACGTTTATGCAAAATAGCCACTACCCTTTAGTGTAATATCTGAGTTGTCCCAGACCTTTAATTGTCAGGTCATCTCTTGACTAGTCTCATCGTGTGATGAGTATTCTAAATTTCACCGGTATTCAGTATGTTTATCATGTTAGAAAATCTCAAGTGCCCTAAAGTACCTGTTAATTCTACATAACCAAATCATGTGTTAGTATCATGTTCGCCCCTAGATTATCGGAAGATTGGTAAATACAAATTTGATTAGTCAGTCTAAGTTGTTTCCATCGTTTTCGTGATGCATGTTATTAAATTTTAGTTTAGCTGCACCGTAATTCATCCATCTTTAGTGTGCTTGTCATCGTGTGTCCTATAGTACGCCATCCAGATGAGTGATTTAATCAGTTGTTGAAGTGGGTCTTAAAATGTGTTATGCAGTTTATACGGCTTACTTGTTCCTGTTACCTGCAACCAAATATTTTTATTTTATCGGATAATTTAGATAACTGGGCTTTTATTTATGCACAACGTCTGGCAATTAAATTCAAAGTCCCACTGCAAGTATGTTTTTGTTTGGTTCCTGCTTACCAAGCTGATACTTTGAGACAGTTTGCATTTATGATTGGTGGACTGACTGAAGTAGAACAAGTAAGTTCATTTGTATTCATATAAAAATATTTGTTTTGGATACGTACGTATAGTGTACATTTGGCATTCTACTTGATTATTATGGACTCAGAAGTAAACTTGTAATAAGAGATGCTTTGATATACCAGTGGTCGTTCTTTCTTACCTAAACATCTGTCATCTGATATCATCTAAGTGACTGGGTTTTCTCATGTACAAAATATTGATTATTTTTTATATGATCCTGTCATCAATATTATGTTGCTACTAAATGACTGCTGTGAAACTGGTTGACAAATGTCACGAGAATAGTAGTATTTAACTAGAAAGCTTCTATAAACTCAATCTAGTTCCTTACTGAAGCGATTCCCAACTAATTTCGAATATTTTCCTTAGTGAATTACGTTGCTTAGCCCCGAATATATTAGGAGACTTGTAGGTATCATTACCAAGGTTTGATTTGATAATTTCGAATAAATTGAGCATTGGGTTGATAGTTATAAATAAAAATAATATATAATATATCATTGGGATATTACAAATATATCATTTTTTTATTTAGGAGACTTGGTACCAGAAGATCAACACACGATGGTTTGTTGAAAGAACTAATTTCAGGCACAATTAAGTAACAATAAATTTAAAGAAAGCGCGTAATAAACGAAACTCGAAAGAGCTTTACAGGAAATTTCTAACCAATTCTTAGATATATGAACAAATTAAAAGAATTCACAATTGTTGCAAATTTAAAAATACCTTCAAGATTCCATTCAATAAAGCTACCATGTTAGCTTCCCTGTAGAACATATTATTTATTTATCTATTTTAACACATAAACGTTGGTACAAGGTGACACCAGTTATATATGCGCCGCACTTCGTCATTCGATTTGTATGAGGGCTGGAATACCGCCTGGATGACCAAACCGAAGCAGGTTGTTATTTTAGGGGGACACCCCGAGCATCTGAATCAGAGGTCTAATCCACAAGGCAGTAGAACGTTAGGAGATCTAAAGCCTTTTTCGTGTAATTCTAGATATATGAGATTTATTAACAGGTTAACAAAAGCATCCTGATTTTATTAGTAAATTTAAATCAACATTGTACGCAGTTGTTATATATTGATTATTTGGAATGGCATAGTGGCTAATTCATCTGGTTTCCAACTAGTCCTTCTCAGATTGGAACCCTACTCCGCCTGTCTCGGTTTGGGTAGTTGGTCTATACCACTAGTCGTCTTACACGTAGTTTGGATCAAATCGGAGTTCATGAACCCAAATGAGCTACATTAATTTGAAAGCTAAGGACGAGTGTTTTCTTCATAGTAATTTTAGATATATACTTTCTTGATGTATTACTGCAAAAAATCTTTGCTTTCCAACTATTGCCTTGTAATTATTGAGTCGTAAACGTTTTGTATCTCTGAAAATCTCTTTGTTAGTGCGACCCAGTGTTCTTTATTATGGTGCGGATTTTTAGCTCTGAAACCAATCATTCTGCTAGCAGGACAATGTAGATGAAAGCACGTTCCATACGGAATCACATTATAGCACACTGATGAGCTCATTTTTTTTTAGCTAGTAAGGGCTCGTATATAAATGTAGAAAACTTTGGAATCTTTCTGCATAAAACTTGTAGCTATACTTACATTTTCCTTACTGTAAGAAATTGGCTAAATTTCTGTTTTTTGGGGGCAAAGTTACGTTCCTGTCCAAGTCGTTTTCTGACTTGTGGATCAATCGGGTGGAGTAGTATCCAAAGGATACTAAGCAATAAAAGTAACTAACCCGGAAAAGTAGGACTTTAACATATTCATACTTCAGTTTATGATATAATGTGTCTTGGTATCGACCACACCATAAGAACCTTTTGATTACTTGCTACTTGTGTGCTCACTGTTGGCTTACTTGAAGATAAATATATTAAAATTTGAGGGGGAGGTTGTAACAGGTCAACTCAATTAAGCCGCAGTAAAGTGCATCGTTATTGGTAACAACAGGTGATAATTGCATTGTCACTAATTGACTTGCAGTTGAAAAGCGTAGACCATTAAATGTCGATTTAGTGTGGTATTCCAGCCGTTTGAGGGTAGTATAGTCTCACTCTGCAAAGTCCATAGAGTTGTCTGGATTATAAAATCCACTTCCCGAGGCTTACGAACGCACCGTGTGGGCGTGAATTTGTGGGGAGATTGTTGAAACCCCTGGGTCTTGAAGCGCGGGCGCCGCGCCAAGGGGCAGGTATGGTCTACATGCATGCCGTTAACACATGAGTTTTTACCTATGCATCCCTTGGCATACACAGGTATACTTACCCTGTGAGCTAATATACGTTACATGCATACCGGTTACACATACGTTTTCACTCATGTATCCCATAAAATACATATAGGTATATCCACCCACATCGGAGGGTAGATACTTACCGTTACCTTTGAACGTGTTTGCTTTGACTGATTGTCTTACTCATTGCTTGTATACCACTTGTACAAAGACTCAAGACTCAAGCACCCACATAGGGCAGCCTTTCACAACTTTTACGGCCTCGAAGGGCGAACCCTGAGTGATTCACGTACAGAATAAGAGTGGTGGATTAGTCCGATATTTGCCTACCGCCTAAATTAGCTAGCAATCTTGTCCTCACTACTCAACAGATCCACGTGGAGTCTTGGAATCGGATTTTGCTGCCAGTAAATTTTCACACTGCACTCAAGTATTGAGAGGTTGGCTTATATGTATATATGGCCATTACTGAAGAAATTCAAACTAGTACATGATATTTCACGCAATCGACTGAATTAAAATTGTATACTTTTGGTACAAAATGACTACCCAGTACTTCCTAATTTTGCTTTTTTTGGTTTTCTATCCGATGTTGGTTCACGACGAAAATTGTTTACAGTATAGTAATAAAATAATCGCAATATATTTGTAGGCAAGGTTGCTTACTCTCACCCTTTCTGTTTCTCCTGGTGATCGACTGGATCATGAAGACGTCAGCATCTAAAGGAAAACACGGGATACAATGGACATCTAGGATGCAGTTGGACGATCTAGACTTCGCAGATGATCTAGCCCTTCTATCCCAAACGCAACAACAAATGCAGGAGAAGACGACCAGTGTAGCATCAGCCTCAGCAGCAGTAGATCTCAACATACACAAAGGGAAAAGCAAGATTCTCCGATACAACACAGCATGCACCAATCCAATCAAAATTGACGAGACGATTTGGAAGATGTAAAAACCATTACATATTTGGGCAGTATCATTGATGAACAGGGTGGATCTGATACAGATGTGAAGGCGCGGATCGGCAAAGCAAGAGCAGCATATTTACAACTGAAGAACATCTGGAACTCAAAACAACTGTCAATCAACACCAAGGTCAGGATTTTCAATACAAATGTCAAGACAGTTCTACTGTATAGGGAGGAAACCTGGAGAACTACGAAAGCCATCATCCAGAAGATACAAGTGTTTATTAACAGTTGTCTACGCAAAATACTTCGGATCCATTGGCTGGACACTATTAGCAACAACGTACTGTGGGAGAGAACAAACCAGATCCCAGCGGAGGAAGAAATCAGGAAGAAGCGCTGGAAGTGGATAGGACACACATTGAGGAAAGCACTGAGCTGCATCACAAGACAAGCTCTCACTTGGAGTCCTCGAGGCCAAAGGATAAGAGGAAGACCAAAGAACACATTATGGCGGGAAATGGAGATAGACATGATAAAAATGAACAAGAATTGGATGAAATTAGAAAAGAGGGCCCATGACAGAGTGGGTTGGAGAATTCTGAATGGCAGTCTATGCTCCATTGAGAGTAACAGGCGTAAGTAGGTAATATATTTGTAATATTCCGGTAAGCAGAAAAATAAATTTCCGAAATTTCAAAACATAATGTAAGTTGCTTCTCCAGACAATAAATAGCTTTTTTCGAATTAACGCGAGTTTAACTAGTTATTATTTATTATTTATTTTAACACATGGATATTGGTACAAGGAGGCACCAAATACATATGCGCCACACAAATCTCATTTGATTTGTATGAGGGCTGTGACACTGCTCGGGTGCCCAAACAGAAGCAGGTGGTTTTCTTAGGGGGCCACTCCCCGAGCCTGCGACCTGAAGGTCCGATCCACAAGGCAGCGGAGCATCGTAAGGAAATGCAGTCTCATGGTAGCCGGTCACCAACAATTGGTTCGTACGCCACTTGTTCTTTCAGGATACTGGAGCCCATGTGCACCATTGGTTTGGAATCAGTGTTTTCAAACTCCCCTAGGTGAATTCACCGTGTCCACTGGCCCGGTTAAAGCGCCGGACATTCGCTTTTCGTCCTCTCATTTTCGTAAACAACACCCCCGTCACGAGAAGGCAGTGAGTAGGACTTGCCTGACAGAGGCTATATACGCGTGGCCATTTAAGAGCATTTGGAGAGGGAGAGCGGACTCTCCCCACTCTCGGCCGTACCAGGGCCGATTCAAATTTAGTGCATACAATTAAGTCTGTTTCTGTTAATATCATGTCTTTTAGATCAAAGGTGGTCTTAAGTGAAACTTGTTCTTTTGTATTCGTATATGTATGTGGGTAGGTATGATGTGATAACTGTGATATAAGCAAGTAGTTTTTTTGTATTGTGAGCTTTGAGCAAGTTGTTTTGAATGTTTGGAAAAGGGTCGGTCGAATAACTTATCCTTCCTTTCATTTGAGCGCAGCAAAGTTCAGCAATATTTCAAGTACTTCAGTTACCCGCGTTTCTTCATAGTTGGGTAAACCTTTTTGAATTTTTTGGAAATATTGGATATTGACTAAATGGTTGTTATATATAGCACGTATTAATATTACTGATTTGACCCATAGTTTTCGGAGGCTTTTTTGTGCAGCGCAGATGTTTCTTGAGACGTGTTAGTATTTCCTCAGGACAGTAGCATCACAATCGACACAATCTAATCTATTTAAAAATCCCCATCAAATCGAAACATTAATGTATGTAGATTCAATCCTATGCTAATATGAACGGGATTCTTCTTATATTCCGACTAAAACCTTTTCAAAATGTGTTTGCTGTTTCTTAAAATGCTTTGATTCTTTTTTATTTTTTGACAACCTTTATGCTTCTTCTGGTGTACTTTAACTAAAACGTAAAACTACGGTAGCTTACTTATTTAAACCTGTTACCCCTTCATGGAGCACAGGTCGTCAACCAGAAATCTCCAACTAATTCTGTCCTGGACTTTCGTTTCTAATTGTTGCTAAGTTCTATCCGTTCTTTTGATATCCGCCCCCAATTCTTGGCACAATACGTTCCTTGGTCTGACTCCTTTCTCCCTGAGTATTGCGAGTTAGGGCTTGCTTTGTTATCCAGTTTGATGGTTTCTGTAATATGTCCAATCCAGCTCCAGCGTCTCTTGCTGATTTCTTCATACGAAAACTGGTTTCTTCCCTGTGACGATGATGGTTCTGCTCAATGGATCTGCAGTATTTTGCGTAGACAGCTGTTTATAACCACCTGCAGTTTTTTAATGATAGTAGTGATAGTTTTCCATGTTTCATTGCCGTACAACAGAACTGTTTTAACGTTGGCGTTATGTGACAGTTGTTTTGGGTTCCATATATTCTTCAGCTATAAGGATGCTTCTCCTTGGTTTACCTACCCATACCTTCATATATGCATCAGGTCCTCTTTGTTTATCAGTGATGCTTCTCAGGGATGTAAAGGCTTCCATCTCTTCCAGAGCTTCGCCATCATATGTAATTCGGCTGGTGCTCACTGTATTGCATTTCAGGATCTTATCTTTTTCTATGTGAATATTCAGGCCTGCTGTTGTGAAAGCCGCTGGTATACTGGCGTTCTTCATTTGCATTTGTTACTGTGTATGGGATAGAAAGGCTAGGTCATCTATGAAGTCCCAATCACCTAGTTCACTGAGACGTGGAAGTCTCCATAGTCCAGTCAACAACCAGAAGGAAGAGGAAAGGTAAGGGTAGAAAACCCTATCTGATATTAGTCTTCACTTGGAACGCATCTATGGGCTACTCCCCATCCACGACTTCGCAGTTCAGTTTTTAGCAGGAGTTCCGTATTGTTATGACCTTGGATCGCTTTTACCCCGTGATACTTGTTATGACTTGACCTTGGTCTGTCCAGTCTTCCAATTATTTTGTTTTTGCCAAAATCCCCGTCGCCAATTGTTATGGCCTTGGATGTCTTGTTTTGCTATCACGCGATTTATCTATCGACCAATCCGGATACGACTTATACGGATCTTTATACTAGGCCAACCAATGACGTTCAACCGGTGTGGGCAGTCTAGCGTCCTTATTGGTCCTATGTCCTACGAGCCCTTCCACTTGAGTCCAGAACATGATACCAGCTTCTGAATCAGAGCAGATCGTTTATTTCAGGCATACTTGGTTTATATATCAATCACACAGACCGCAACGTACCATAAAATAGGAAACAATATTTGTACACAAATAAGCCCAAAAAGTGGCTGTGAATGAGGGAGGCAGTAGTTAATAAACTGAACGTAACTTAAGAACCGTAAATCGTACAATAATGAATTATAGATCAAAATAAAGCTTATCATAAAAGGAATATAAATATACATAGTGTAATTGTTGAGTAGTTATACAATAAGAATATTAGTCCATGAATAGTCCTCGGAAGTTGCCTGTAATTTAATCTCCACTCGGGTATAACACGTATAATGATGACAATTTTCTCAGGTACTTTATAGTGCCGGAGAAGATTCCATAAAGTTCACAATTGATTGATCACTGGGTGATGATCAATGTCATGTGTGTCAAGTCCTTCTTAGTGCAGATCGAATCCTATCGACCAAGTTACAATGTGGCCATCAGTCGAGATGACTCGACACTGCGTGCACTATACTGAGATAAGATCGTGGTTAGAGGTAGTCAACAGGAAACCCTGAACCCGGGTTTCGTGTTCTCATGAAACATCGTAAGAACTACCTCTATATCTTGATCTAATGTTTCTGGTCGTATGCTATTTGGTCCCTCTTCTGTGGCACTCTTGATCTGTTTGATGGCCTTGTTAGTTTCTCCTGTCGTCCGAGTGTCATCTGTGGAGAGGTCTGTGTATACGACTTCGGTGTCGGGTGGATTCAGTAGCACTGGTTTATTTAAGAGCTCTTCAAAGTGTTCTACCCACTTGTTCTGCCGTCCTTGGGCCTCAGTATGTGATCTGCCTTCTTTGTTCTTGGCTGGTCGCTCTGGTTTACGATATTTCCCTTCTGATTTCTTGGTTGTTTCATATAGTTCCCCCATATTTCCTTCTCTTGAAGCTTTATCTGCTGTCATTGCTAGATATTCTACATATTTCCGCCTGTCGGCTTTAATGCTCTTCGCCACTCGTTTTTTGCTCCTATATACTCTGGATTTCGCTGCTCTTTTTCGGCTCCTGGCTACTGTCTTCTCATTTTTCCTATCTTTAGTCTTGGACAGGATATCAATAGCGACCCATCCTGGTGTTTCTTGCTCCCCAGCCTTTTCTAGCTTATTGAAGTTATTACTTCTCTAGTCTCTTTCCAGTTCTCTATCGTGGTTCCTCCTTCCAATAGATCTTGTAAGGCTTGGGTCTTGTTGCTGAGGTCTATCTTTGAGTTGCTGAGTTTGTTAGCATCTCGAAGAAAAGCTGTATTAAAGTTTAATTGTGTTGCTTATCCGGTTGTCTGAAACTATATTGGCCCTTCTTGTTCTTGCGTTTTCCATCAACCTTCTGAGTTTATTTTGATGCAAATGTAATCGATCTGATTCTACGAGATGTGTTCCGATGAAACATGCATTTGTGGGAGAAAATAGTACCCGTTATAACCATGTTAAAAGCACATAGATTTTTGAGTCTCACCATTCTCGTTCCTTTATCCTACCCGACCGTTGTTGCTGCCTTGACGTGGTGGTCGGGCCTGCCTGTCGTGATGAAGCAACCGAGCTATACTGGCTGGAACAACCGTTCCTCAAGGTCCTACCATGTCAGGCAGGTCGGTTGAAGAGCGGTAAGACTAAAAGCAACAAACCCAAGGTCCGAAGGCGAAGTCGTACTGCTGACTGTACAGAGGTGTGACAGCAGTAAGGTGTTTTCTTCAGATAACCAGCATGACAGCGATGCTGCCTTCCCACAAGGAGGGGTGGGGTTAGAAAAGGTCGACCCCAAAAATGCACACCTCGACTTATCTTCACGGATTTCCGTCTCCGGCGGTAAGGTCTCAACAAGTACGGAGCTAACACAAAAATTACCCATAATAAGGTCGTGTGTGACCAACCTCAAGCAGTTGTCCCTCGGGCACTGCGGTCACGGTCTCAGGTCACTAAGACCACCTCTAATCCATTTTTTTTTCAGGTACCTCCAGAACAACCCTTCCTCGGTGTGGGCAACCGGGAAGTGATAACCGCCCTCATAACTCTAACAGCACTCAAGACCACGACCTCCTACCAGATCCTGTCCATACCAACCTCGGCGTTTAGGTCTCCCATCGAGATGGTCAGGTCTTTTTCCGGTCAGTTCTCCACGATGAACTGCAGTCTCTTAAATATAATTTTCATCATCTTTGCTGCTATCATCGGTGAGCACATAGCACTGGGTGGTGTTTATTGTAGTCCCTTCCTTCCTTGTTTTGAAGGATGCTTTGATGATCCTCGAGCCATGAAATTCTCATCCTATAAGTGCTTTTCGCAGTATCAGCGCAACTCCTTGTTTGTGTGACGAATTTTCTTCATGATCAGAGTACAACAACACTTATTCCTGAAGCTAGTCTTTTATTTCCACCTTGGGTCTAATGGGTTTCACTTATTCCAAACAAAGCAAGGTTGTATCTTTTCATTTCTGCTGCTATTTGAAAGTTTCTTCCCGGTCTCCCACATAACGCGGACATTTCATGTGCCTATACTAATATTTGCTGTGGTTGCCAGTAGATATATCGGCCTCGTGGTTTCTAAAGAATCTCGGCTTTCACTTTAAAGCGTCATAACCTTTATATGTGAAAACCCTTCAGCTCTCAGGACAGCATAAGTGTTTTGAGTGAATTCTTTCTTTAAGTGTGTATCAAGGTATTTTTTTACTGAATGCGGTTGCTAACCCCCATGTTCAACCCTCCTCCTTTATCCGGGCTTGGGATTGTCAGTAGCTTTAGAAAGGCTTGAGGCAGAGCAATTTATGATATTTTAGGTGATATTTACAAGAAAATCATTAAACTGAAAAATGCGTATTATTTCAAGTTCTTTTTATCTTCTGGTATGACAAGTTCAGTATTTTCAATGAACATACTGAGAGAAATACAACGCTTAATATTGACAGGATGTGTGGATTTAAAATGTATATCCCAATGTAGATGTCTTGGTCTACGGAAAATTGTTAGATCCAGAGTTGTATTACATTTTTTATAACTAAGCAGTCTAAAAATATTGGCTCATTATTGTTATACCCAATATCTTAATGTTATTAAACTATTCTTGTTTTAAAAAGTGTTAACTCACAGTGCAACACATCGTAAAGATATAGTCTAGTTTTGACTTCTATGTTTGTGCATTCATCCAGATTTTCGTTAAGAGTGAAATAAATTTATTACGTTATATCTATGAAGACTCTGTTGGTTTCTCCTTCATAGGAATGTCGTTCATTGAATATCCCATTCCATTTGTTGATTACCTCCAATCAAATTGATAGACCTGAAGATGTATCTTCTGGATGCAAGCACAGATGGTCCGATGAAAATGCTCAATTTAATCAAACTGATCAAATAGAAAAAAACTTTCTTTATGAAACGTATGTTGCAAAATCGGTTGTTGGTTTGGCAAAGCTATTGAATGTTGGATGTTTGGTCACAGACTTCTGTCCTTTAAGAGCACCTCGTTCATGGGTAAAAAAAGTTATTGATGAACTACCTAATAATATTCCTTTTTGTGAAGTAAGACTTCTGTTGTATAAAAGTTGTTTTTTTTATTTATATAGGAATTTTGGTTTTAAATTTATGTAGTTATTTCATTGTTGCTTCCTAACAAATGGTAATCAAGTGTTTATTACATTCTCAAAGAAATCAACTGATCATATATTTTTGAATGGGGTACTTCCTAGACGTCCGAACCGATATAGGTGGGTTTTTCCATGGAGTATCACTTCCCTAACCTTTGATCTAAGGGTCTGATCCACAAAGTACTAGAGCAATGTCAAGAAATGCAGTCCTATGGTAGCGTATGATTAAAATCAGTTCATATGTCACTTGTTGCTTTAAGATCCTGGAGCCCATGTTCACTAATATTTTTTCAATGTTGTTCGGTTCCCCAATGAATTGTTTATAACTACCAATTTAGGTCTAAACGCTAGGCATCCGCCTTTTCACTTTTTGTAATCGTACCCTTATGTGAAGAAGGTGAATAGGACTATTCTTATAGAGGTTATAAACATGTGGTTTTGTGAGAACATTTAGAGTTAGAGTGAACTCTTTCCATCTTTGCGTACCGTGGTGTTGAAGGGTTTATAGACAACAGCGTAATCACGTTTATCAAGTTACAGATGGCACTTATTAAGATACAGAAAAGTCTGATGCTTTAAACGTACTGACTCATATAGTATGTCTTGTGTAGTAAAACAGTATTATTTATTGAATAGGAAACGTGATGTAACGAGTTACAAATGTTTTGTTTATTGGTTTTACTGTTTTATCCTTTTGTTTTTGAGGTGATGGAAGTTTCATTATTCACAGGGTGTATATAATAAAAGTTTCATTACAGGCGCTTGGCGTTGATTCGATAAGTGAAAATTTAGCTACGAATTTCCTTTCCTGTGCAACGTAGTAGGTTTTCGCGATTGTTACTCTATCACCTTTTGTTTCATGTGACTGTATACGTAGTATTAGCTGAGCTTTTTCTAAAATATCGTTTATAAAAAATGGTAGCATCCGACTTTCTGCTAAACATTTGTATTTCACTAGCTTCAGAGTCCTGGCTTATAGATTAATTGTTAATTATTTTTAACCAGGTTGATGCCCATAATATTGTTCCAGTTTGGTGTGGATCAGAAAAACGAGAGTATTCTGCTCGAACTATCAGATCAAAACTATTTGAGCAATCTCCGAAGTTTCTAACAGATTTCCCACCTATTATTAAACATACTTGTTCAAGTGAAACTACTGTCCTTCCTCCGGTATGCTTGCTTTAACTTTTATTTCAATTTATTAAATGATCTGCCCATCACACTACTTTCAGTTCTTGTAATAAGACTTTGTTTTTCTGCACTTTCAGTAGACTCTTTCTTTATTTTTAGATGCTACTGAAGACAATTACTTCTAAGGTTTTCTCACCAGTTTTGTTTTTGAATTTTCATCTGTGGCCAATTTTTTTTCAATGCGATGATCGGTCTTGCCTGTCCTATGGAAATTGTTCTTAAAGATTCCCTAACAGACCAATTACAAAACAGTAAAGCTAAAGGCAATAAATTCCAGTCATGAGGATGACGCCAGACTGCCGACTGTACTGGATTGTATTGACATTGAGGTATTCCTCTAGGATGATCAGCATCTCCAGAAACTACCTCCTCTTAAACGAAATTAAGTTAGGAAAGTCTATCCTAAAATAGCATTTCTCTCTCCTCTAGTAATTTTCGTCCCTCACATTGATGCTTGAAGAGTAAGCAGCTGATATCCAAAAAGCGGAAAAAGAGACAAAGAAGTCAGTCTAAAATATGTGCAATGAATATATCATACCTTTTTCGTTCTGTTTTACCTTATAGCTGCAAAACGTGGTTACTAAAGGTAGAAGATACTCGTAAGTTACTAATATTTAATCACAGATGTCTTAGAAATATTGCTGGCATCACTGGGTAAGTAATAGTGAGGTTAGACGTAGGGTATTACGGAATGATGGTAAATCAGTTGTTGAGATAGTGAATCTACATCGACTGAGATGGTTGGGCCATGTATTATTCATGTCCAACCACCGATTACCACGGCGCGCAATGATGATTAGTGTTGAGGACGGATGGAAGGAAATTAGGGGTGACCAAACTAAAACGTCGTCAGTCCATAATGTCACTAACGTCTGATCTGAACCATGTTGGTAGATGCAGACTACTTGGTTAGGGTCCGCTCAACTGTCGTAACCAATTATTGGAGACTGGGTGACATAGTGACGTAGGTGTATATACTCTTTATCTTCCCTTAAACTGTGAGATTAAAACTACCTTTGTTTCTACGAACAAATTTCTTCTCCCTGTATCATATCGCTATATGCAGTCGTTTTTTGTATATTACTACCATTGAAGTGACCGCTCCTATGAATTTGGTGTTCATCTTCTTATGCTAATGAGGTATGGTAACTTGGACTGATGCATATGTGTGCCTGATCTTACGTTGTATTGACTGATATAATACCTTTGAAATTCACGTACAAGAATTGAATATAGTTATCCACCTAACCTGTGTGATAAACCAACATGGTTCACGCTTTGGATATCTGAAGACTTGGTAACATATTAGGTGTAATCGATAAATAAACCCATCAATGACATTATTGAACACCGACTACTTTAACCTCATCTGACCTTGGTGCGACTATGTTTTTTTCCATTCACCAATCAAGCTTGTACATTTTTTCTAAACGCGACCAAGCTTCATTGACTTATTTGTTGTGTCCTCTAGTCACTGCTCAGTATGTGTCATTTTTGTTGCCTCCTTTTTTCCTTTTAATAAATTGTTTCGATTTCGCTTTTTTTTCACCAATTGTATTAATTTGTTTTTAGAAAAAGATGAAGTCTTACAAGCCTAATAGCTTGTCTGTGACTTTGGCCACACCAAGACTCTGTGCTCGATGGCCTAGGGACTTGCTTAAAAGGCTTATCTGTAGGTGATTAAATTCTAACTAATTTCCAAATTAACAATAAGTACCACTGTTGGTTTCTACAGTTTTGCTGGGTTAATGTCTAGTAACTGTTTTTCCATTTGAACTTTTTTAGCCTGTTAATTGGGAGTTAATTTTATCTAATTATGTTGGTGACAAAAGTGTGAAACCTGTGGACTGGGCTGTACCTGGAACTCGAGCTGGTTTAGAAGTTCTATATGAATTTATCGGCAAACGTTTAAAAAAGTTCGATCCTCATAGAAATGACCCTGCTCATCCAGCTCTTAGCGGATTGTCACCCTGGTTACATTTTGGTTAGTGAGCTTAATTAATCATACTGTCCATTTATATTGAAAAATGTGCATGAAATCCAACCAAAAGCTTTTCCTGTACAATTTTCATCCGAATGCTTTTTTATTTTCACTTTGTTAAAGCTGTGGACATTTCTCACTACTTAGTGTATTTCGGCTTTCGTCTACTGTAGATACTTTGAATTATGGTAATTTAACACAACAGCCTGTTGCGTCAGAGTAGTATACTGTTGGTTTTATTTTAAGGTCAAATCGCTCCTCAGCGTGCTGTTCTTGAAGTAGTTGCTGTTCAAAAGCACTTTGGACGATCGGCCGATATCTTCATTGAAGAATGCTTTAACAGAAGAGAGTTGGCTGAAAATTTTTGTTTCCATACACCTTTCTATGATTCGATTAAAGGTATGTTATTTTTTGTGTAATTATATATATATATATATATATATATATATATATATATATATATATATATATATATATCGACACTTGATATAATTAACGACAATGTAGCAAAACGTTATCAAGAAAGAAAGTTAGTAGGAGTAATTAGTGACGTAATGAATCGTTCAGTTTACAAAATTTTCACTAAATTCAACTTTACCATAAATAATAACAAAGATATCGTGTAATTTGAGTGGAAATAAATTTATGCAAATTTGTACATTGTCTACCACTAAATGAAAAACGACCGTGTACTACTTACACAAAGACTACTTTAATTAAACATTATCAACAATCGTGTGTAAATTATAAAGTGCCTCCACTTTTCAATGGTGATCCAGCTCAGATCGGCTCATGAATTCAACTGTTGAAATATAAAAAATATTACTTAAGAGTTAGAAACTGTCAACCATAAGTTGACACCGGTCCATTGAATAGTGATCAGGTTGTGGAAAGTCTTTGATGAATTTCCTGTTCATGAATATTTATTATTATTATTATTAGCTTTATTCAATATTATATTTTTGGTACAATATAGAATTCTCAGCACAACGTATTTCAACAAGTTCCCGTTTCTTTCTTCTTGGTCGATCCTGACGATAAATATTGAGTGGTCGCGAGTTAGATGTTAGCAGTCCAGTAAATGAACATCTAAATGATGTACATTCTTTTCGTTGTATATTGCCAGCAACCACATTGTCTTTTATTGAGCTTTTTGTAACTTTGACAACGAAAGGTTGTACACTTTTCAGAAATGCATCAGGATAGGTTATACGATTAATAAACATAATTATATATTAAAACAAACAAAAATAGATAACTTGTTGAAATATCTAGATGGCAGGAACAGGTAGCCCAGATGCTCAAGCAGGCCGCCTATAATGTTGATGTTATGAACAAACATCATAATTATGTTAGCAGATAATGTGTGTGAATCGGCATAATGCGAATCACATTTGAAATGATTTTTAATTAGGGAAAAATAGTCAAATGTTTTAGGAAAATAATTTCCTAAGGATGTAAATATTGGTTACTGATTTTTAGACGTTTATTACTAATAGTCATTGAAGATAAAATATGAAGTGTTAAAAACGGTTAAAATTTTAAACGTCATTGTATTCCGTTATCAGATATTTGAATAATGTTAACAAGTTGTTTTTCCTGATTATTACGTAGGTGCACTTGACTGGGCACGTGAATCACTTATGACACACTCAACAGATAAACGAGATCCAGCGTACAGTAAAACTCAGATGGAAACAGCCCAAACTAATGACGATCTATGGAATGCAGCACAACGTCAATTAGTGCTCAAGGGCAAGATGCATTGGTTTCTGCGCCAGTACTGGGCCAAAAAGATACTTGAATGGTGCGCAGAGGGTCCAGAATCGGCTATTCAAATAGCAATATACTTAAACGATCGTTACAGTTTAGATGGGACAGACCCAAATGGATACGTTGGTTAGTTTTATACATATAATTATGGATTCCTAGTCCATTTTTACGTTTACTTACATGGTTTAGTCAGTTGTCTACTGTAAGAAACTACTTCTGAACATTAAAAAAAAGGAAAAATAATATAGACTTTTCTCTTCCCATGTAGGTATTATGTGGGCAATATGTGGTGTTCATGATCAAGGCTGGCCTGAACGACCTATTTTTGGTAAAATACGATATATGAACTATAAAGGATGTTTACGGAAATTTTCTGTTCCTACATTTGTATCACGGTACCCCGAAAAATTGGATTAAATAACTAAACTCACATCAAAGGGAGGGTAAAATCTAATAATTCTATATATCTGCATTTATACCTTTTTACCGTTTATTTTTGCCTATATTTTATTTCCAGTCTGATCTGCTCCAAGATATTTGTCTCCTTTATATTAATAGATATTTTGTATGCCATTTGTGTTTTGTTCTCTACTTTTACTACTTTATATTCGGATGATGAGAACTTATAAAAAGTAATTCTAAATAACAACTTCCTCCTTCCATCGGTGTTGTCGAAAACGTAATTCATCATTGCTCATCATCACTTGAGCAACTGAACACTGAAAAACTCATGAGTGGATAGTTCAACAGAGTTGTTCTGCGCTACATTTAGTTGGTCCATCTGGGTACTTCAGCAAATAATGATCCTATAGTTTCAGTTTATGATAAATAGTCATTTATTTTGGGTGATGCGAAGTGAAACTCAGGCATTTTCAACTGGGATATTTGGGAGATTCTTTCAAGCAGTGATTTTCAGCTACATTATGTCACTTGTATATTTCTAGTCAATTGAGTTTTCAGATGACTAACCGCCGAAAAACTGTTGGTTAGAGCTGTCTATAGTGGTTTTCATGAAGAAAAATTGGGTGGAAGTAATAAGTACTATTTTTACTATTTGTAGTTACCCGAAATGATAAATTTACATAAGTTTTTATACAATAGTAAAATGTTTCTTAGAAAGCATATTTGAGTGGGGAGCTCAACCGCAAGAACATTCAAAATAACTTGATTCCTAAAATTGGACTTCGCCGTTCAATCGAGCAATTTCAAATTATTTACCGTATACTATAATTGGCTACTAAGTTAGCTCTGTCGATGTTATCTTTGTAGGATTATTGTTTTCGAGTGAACCAAATATCATTCCGTGACCCGCAATTTCTTTTTACCTGTTGGTTAATACGTGAGTGCCCATTCCATACATATTTCTGTAGACGTTGTATAATAGGATCCGGTCGATGAATGTGTAGTTTTTCTATAGCCAAGTAGTATTCCAATAGGTTTACAGCTGTCCACTAACGAGTGTTTATAGACTAGAATGATCCATAGGAGTAGTCGGATTAAGTCAAGTAATTGGGAAGCAATATGACTGCTTAACACGGGTTTTGTAAATAAATTCGCCATATTTATACATTTCACATTGTTTATTGTGAGGAATAAGGCGTGATGAATTGTCTATTTTAACAATAGAATAAGAAACTACATTGTTTAGTATTTTAAGATGTAAACCTTAAGTGTACCTATAAGAACTTTAATAACAGCTTGAAGTACAATTTATTGCAGAACGAAAAAACTGATGAGTAGAAAGATAGTTTATTTGATTGCCAGTTTAGACTGATTGTGTAATAACTAGTAAGTCGTTTCTTCTGAGATAAGTTTTATTTATTTATTTAAACACAACATTGGTACGAGGGAGTACCAAATATGCGCTACACAATAACAATGAGGCCAGTAGCAGTTATCATTGATTTGTGTGAGCGCTGTGATACTGCTCGGGTGCTCAAACCGAAGCAGGTTGTTATTTTAGGGGGGCAGTCCCCGAGCATCTGAATTAGAGGTCTAATCCACAAGGCAGTAGAACAACGTTAGGAGGTGCAGTTTCATGGTACCTGGTGACCAAAAATAGGTTCATACGCCTTTTGTCCCTTCAGGATCCTGGAGCTCATGTGCACCATGGGTTTGGAATCAGGGTTTTCCAACTCCCCATGTTCACCAACCCGGTTAAAGCGCCGAACACTCTCTTTTTGTCCTCTCAATTTCGTAAACACCCCCACCGAGAGAAGGAAGTGAGTAGGACTTCCGTGGCAGTGGCTGTATACGCGTGGCCATGTGGAGAGGGAGAGCGGACTCTTCCCACTCTCGGTCGTTACAAGGCATTTGGGGGCAGTTAATAAATTTTGACGTACTGCCTAATTAAATTTCCAATTAAAATCCCAATTTTAGTTAAACATCTTATAGGTACAAATGCCTTTTTCAAACCAAAAGGCACTAAATAGCTTTGACATCAGTTGTTAGGAAACAACTGCCTATTTTTAGAACCTTGATTTAAACGACAGTAGTTGTTTAGCTTCGTCACATCTGATAGATGATTTAGTAAATACGTGCTGTCCAAATGTATCCTGTAGGTGTTGGTTTAGCAACAGATTTCTGTATGTAGCCCATTCGAATGTGCATTAGTTGCTTTGTGTGGAAACAACTAGGGTATTGTGGAATTACATAACGAAATGACATTAATTCTTAAAAGTGATGGTCGCTTTGGCCCATCTAATTTAGTTACAGCCGTCGAATCTCTAGGTGTGTGTAGCCTTGAATTGTCTATCCGATCATATATTTAGCTTTTATATATCTAAACAAGCTTATTATTATCTAGTGTCCAGAGAAGAAGACGATTTTTTCGAAAACTTACCACATGTATTTATTCCATGTTTTACAAGATCTACTCAAATAAGAGGGAACTACCATGGAGAAAACTAGAAAAGGATCAGAGACGCACGAACTTCAACATGCCAGATGGTTCTGGGCCGCAACAAGCATGGTAAAGAATGTGTCTCAATCGAAACCCTGGCCGTGATTCAAGAAATGAAGAACAAGAAGACAGCAATTAACAACAGCCGAACAAGAACAAAGAAAGTCAAGACACAAGTTGAATACTCTGAAGCAAACAAGCAAGTGGAGAGGACTAGTAGAGCTGACAAGCAGAAATACGTGGAAGACCTAGAAACGGGAGGGGAAAGAGCTGCAAGAGAAGGAAACATCAGAAAACCATACGACAACAGAGAAACTGGCAGGGAAATGTAGTAAACCAGAGAGCGGTCAAGGACGAGGAAGACAAGACAATCACTGAGACTCAAGGACAAAGGGTAGAACACTTTGAAGAACTCTTGAATAGGCCAGCTCCATTGAATCCACCGGATAATCAAGCAGCACCTACAGACCTTCCTATAGATGTCACTCCACCAACAATCGAAGAAATCAGGATGCCTGGTCATCAGACAAATCAAGAGTGGGAAAGCAGCAGAAGCTAACAGCATTCTAGCCGAAACACTGATTACGCAAACATGCTTCACGTTCTATTCAGAAACATTTGGGAGAAAGAACAAGTGCCGACAGACTGGGAAGTAAGATTCATCATCACAATACCGCAAAAAGATCTGAGAAAATGTGAAAACTACAGAAGAACCATACTACTTCCACTGAAGCTGCTCTCATTTAACCACGTGTTCATAGCCGCCCTCTGTCTTCTCGCAGGAGTGTTCTTAACTAAGGTGGAAGGACAAAAAGCGAGCGTCCTTTGTTTCAAGCGGACTGATAGGTACGGAGGGTTTAGATAGGGGAGTTGGAAAAGCCAAATTGATGAACTCTTGTATCTTGGGGAAACAGGTGGCGTATGAACCATATTTTGGTAACCGGAGTGGTCCCCTAGAAAAATTATAGCACCTGAAAATTCAGTGCAATTACTCGTATTAAATAATTGAATAGTACAAATTTCGTTGTCGCGAAAATTCTATACAGTGAGTTTATCAATACTTTACGATTGTCTTTTAGGACTAGTCAGCTACAACGTAGGACCAGGCACATATATGCATCGGTCCAAGTTGCCATACCGCATTAACACAGCAAGATGAACACCGGATTCATAGGAGTAGTTAAGTCAATGGTGGTAATATATAAAAGAAAGATTGTATTTAAGGATATAGTACAGGAAGAAAGAATTAGTTCGTAGGAAGAAAGATATGAAGTGATTTTAATCTCTTGGAGTGTATACACCGAGGCCATTGTGATCGATTCTCATCCATGTCATCAAGAGTCTCCAACCATTGGTTACGATAGTCACGCGGACCCCAACCAAGTAGTCCGCATCTACTGATCAGACTTCCAAGATAAGTGAAGTTGTCAACGCGTTCGACTACTTCACTCCCTATCCTCAGTTCAGGTGTTGACGCAGACCAGTCCTGAAGCAACAACTTGCATTTACAGGGAGAGAAGCGCATTCCAAACATCCTGGCATTGTTGCTCATTGCTACCAGAAGACTCTGCATTTTGTCAGCGTCTTCACCAAACAGGACTATATCATCTGCGTATTCTAAGTCGATAAGTGGACCTCCTGGATGGAAATCAATACCCGAGAACTCAGTCGACGAGAAAGTTATTTCCATCAGTAGATCTATGATGAAGTTAAACAGAAATGGAGAAATTGGACAGCCTTGACGGACACCACTTGAGGTTGCAAAAGTAGATGACAGTTCGCCATAAGCTCTGACTCGACTAGTAGTGTTCGAGTAAAGAGCCTTTACAAGGTTTATGTACTTCTGGGGTACGCCTTTGAATGACAGACACTGCCACAGAATCTCGCGGTCTACAGAGTCAAATGCTGCTTTTAAGTCAAGAAAGACCACCATTGTCGGACGCCGATAAGTATGTTGTGTTCTAGAATCTGACGAATGGTGAATATGTGGTCGATGCAGCCACGACCAGGTCTGAAGCCAGCTTGGTTCTCTCGTGTTTGCAGTTCACGAGTCTTAGTTAGGCGTCTGATAATTATCGAGGCTAGTATTTTAGATATTATATTAGTTAAACTAATCCCTCCGTGGTTGTCACAGGATGATTTTGACCCTTTCTTATATATTGGGACGATAAGTGGTTGTGACCAGTCAGATGGGATAACGTCTAACTCCCAGATTTTAGCTAAAATATCAGTCAAACTAATCGCTAAAGTTCGACCACCATCCTTAAAGACTTCTGAAGCTAATCCATCTGGACCAGCTGCCCTTCCTCGTTTCAGATTAACTATAGCCTTTTGAACTTCAGCTAGAGCTGGGTGACCTACTTCAATGTTCCATTCACACTGTCTGGGAATGGAGGGTAGTTGTAGAGTAGCTGAACAGTTCTCTAAAATTTTCCGCCCATCGTTCTGGACTGGGAGCAGATGAGTGTCGTCTTTTTCGGAAATAGTCTGAATTACACTTGACATATTAATTCCAGTTTCTTTTATTAGTCTGTAGAGCTGTCTTGTGTTCCCTGCAGCCGCCGCCTTTTCCATCTCTTGCTTTTGTTGCCCACCACTGCTAACAGTTGTTCCTTAGACTTTTGGTTAACCTAGATCTGATTTGTTTACGCTCTTCATCGTGTTCAGAGC